CAACATTTACTTCCACAAGATTTTGAGTTCCAAATTTTCACCCCATCTCGCCCATCCCCCCACCCCAAGATGTCATGCATTCTGAATATCCCTTTCCCTAGTCTGCCCTCCCTTCTATCTCTCCCCCCCTTCTCTTATCTCCTTCCCCTTCTCTTTTCCTGTAGGGCAGGATAGATCACAAATGTCTTCTAACTCCCACTTAACTACTTATGGAGATCCTCTCTCCCAATACCCACACCTCAGAGGTCTCTGACAAAGGACCCCCTGAAAAACTACTAATTCTTGGCCCCCAAGATCCTTTTTGAATCTGGGCCAGAAAAAAGCCAAATAAAGAGGGCAAACGCATTATTCTCCATGCAGCTGGCCATTGTCCCAGCCTTTATTTATGCAAGTGTGAAAAGCAGCAGACTTCTAAATTTTGAATTCTGCTACAAAAACCAGTAGTTACAGGAGCTAGGAGGGAGTGGACACCTGGGTTGTTTTTCCACCCACAACTTGCCGGCAGTCTATTTGAAAGTTAGCTTTAATTGCTTTTACCAAAACTCTCAGATAAATTATCTGGTTTGTCTGTGAGATTTTCCTAAGTGTGTTTATTTTGTTCTGTTTGTTTTGTTTCTGTACATGTTCTCAGTATCACCCCTTGTGTTTGTCTTTGAAATATTTCATGAGAAGTCTATGGATTTGGTGGTTTTTGGATCTTTTTTTTTTTTATCACAACCCACAGTGCTCAGTGCTGGGATGCCACCTTCTATGGGAAGCCTTTCCTGATCCTTTCCCTGCATCGATACCTTTGTATGGACACATGTATCTCACCCATAGAATGTAATTCTCTGACGGCAAGTACTCTGCCTCTGTCCCCAGCACCTGGCAGAGTGGCTTCTCAGTTGATGAACTGATTACTGACTGAACCTTCAAGGATGCACTGAGCTGGCCCGTGGTGTCCTTCTAGGACTCTTACAAGCATAAGCCACCTCCCCTCCCCCCATTTGATCTGTCTTTGCTTTGATTGGTTACCTGCTATCTCAATACACCTGCTGCTGCTGGGGCTCTTTCCCAGGCAGGAAAGTAGAGTGAGAGGAGAAATTATTGGAGCTTTTGGGACAGGGATTGGGGGAGAAATTCCCTGGGGACTGGGCTCAGTGTAAATCGATTAATGTAATTAGTTAGAGAGATGAGAGCCCTCAGAAACTCTGTGCAGTCACACAAGTTGTTTTCTCATTCAATACCTCGGTGGAAAAATCCTTTTCATTGATGCTGCCTCTGGAGACCTTTTTGAAGGCTCTTCCAGACTGGAAACAGAGATGGATAAATTTCATTAAAAGAACACAGTTGGGCTTTACTTCCATATGTCTCTGCATTCAGAAACTGGCACAGGACAGGTTGCTTAAGGGGGAAAAAACCTGACAAAATTGTGAATTACTGTATTTTGAGCAGCTCGGCATTGATCTGACTCTTGTCTCTCCTGATGAATATTAAGAAATCATGAAGCAGAGCAGGGCGCTTTGGTTTTCCTTGGGTCAGTCTTGGTGATTAATTTCACTTTGCCTCTTTCCAACTCACCCAACACGTCCATCTTGCTGCTTCCTGCAAAACTTGGCCTCCGGTCACTGGGGATGAGCCGACTCTGGTGATGTTTTGGGTCCCTTTGAACTCTGCGCCCTCCTTGGTGCAGGCACTGGATGCCCTCACCCCCCCCCGACTCCAGAAGCTCCCTATCCCATGTATCGGAGCCCCCCACCAAGCGCACGCACGGTCATCTTCCTGAATCACACCTTGTTAGATCACCTCGATGCCCACTTAAAACTCCCCACTCCATCTCCCCAAAATCATGGGCTTCTTTAAAGCACTTGGTAAACATGGTCTCACAACCATAGGACATATGTCCTGTAGTACCGGTATTAGCATCCCCATTTTACAGAAGAGAAAACTAAGGTTCATAGATTTCAGGCTGGAGGGGACATGGAGGTCACTGGGTCCAGCCTCATTTTACAGATGAAACTCAGGTTAAGAGTAGAAACAATGACAACAGTTACCATTTATAAAGTATCACCCTTAGAAATATCATCTCCTTTTATCCTCATAACCGCTCAGAAGTTTATCCTCCTTTTGTAGTTGAGGCAGATAGAGGTTAAGTGACTTGCCCAGGGTCACACAGCTAACGGGACCGTGCCCAACGCCAGCCACTGAACCAGGCGGCGTCTCCAAAATTCACCCTTTGGCCCCAGCCTCTCTGTGCAGCCTCAGCTCCTGTTACTCACAAACAAGAACCCGGCCCCTTCACCTGCCCCCTACCCATTGGGTCTGAAAGAAAGACTCCAAGGCACGCAATTAATCAGCAGGGCCCCAGTTCATTTGGGATTCCAAGAAGGTTGACAGAGAGAAGGTCACAAAGTAAGAAAAAACATTTTTATACTAACCATGCGCTTTGTGATTAGGCTCAAGTCTGCCAGAAATAATGTTACTTAATACAATATTCATCTTTATCCAGAGGTGGGATACAGCTAGCTTGTACCAGCTTGTAAAGCTAATTGTTAAATTTTCAGTGGGAACATTCATACCTCACAAATTGATAAAAGCTATAAATCAGGGCTTGATTTATTGTCTTATTGATTGTCTAGACTTGAGAAAGTGATAGAGAGAATGTTAATGATACAGATTAAACTTTTAAAAAGTGGATTATGTGGTTTTGGAGATCTGATTGTTAAACATTCACTATCGCACCATTCTGTATCCAAGACATTTCCAGCATGGTGAGAGTGATGTCCAGCCTGGCATCGTCTGCCATGGCAGACTCTGCCCCCAGAGATTTCAGTTAACATTTTTGGGAATCCTAAGGGGGGCAGAATTCCTAATCATTAACAGTGCGGTGAACAGCTGAGTCACCGTCCCATTCCCTGCATGTCAAATGGAGGCTGCTCCCTTCACATCTAGGTCTTACCCCTTCATCTCAGGAGAAGCCCAGGCCCGAGGTGGGTGGAGAGGCAGCGATTCAGACCAGACCAGAGTTACTCTGGCTGGTCCCGCCTTTCATCCCTCTCCCTGCTGAAGTCCGGCTTCTCCTTTGGCCCTGGCCCAAGGCATTTCCAGCATCTAGAAAAGGAGGATTTCATAATATTTTTTGGGAAAATTTTAACAGGCTTTTGTAAAACTTGTCTTGATGTTTCTCTAGTGCTTGTTTTACGTAGAAAAATAAACCCAGCAAAATCAGGGAAAAGGCTCCCCTTGTTCTGACCAGCCGTGCCACCACGGCGTTCTGTGAGAGACAAGAATGTGTGGGAGGAAAGGAAAACCACTCCATCGTCAGGAAGCGTCTGCTTTCACCCGGAACAGGTTATGGGTTAGCCGACTGGAGCAGGGTACAGGTGATACACAGTATACTCAATTAAGGCAGAATACAGCTGGTTAATACAACGTTAAGTCGCTTCCGATTCAGGGTAGAGGGAGTTCTTAGGATAAACATTGAGAGAGCTTTCCATGCCCCAGGACAGGGTGTCCCAAAAGTCTTAGGGCAAATAGGCCCAAAGCTGCCCTGGGACTCTGGGGACACCCTCTAGGCTATAGTACTCTTCATCAATCCAAGATGAAGGTTCTTGGGGTCACAGTTAAACTCCATTTCATCCAGGTCATTTGCCATTTCCTCAACATGCATTATGCTTCCTTATTATGGTATCATAGTATTGCAGATGTCATTTCCTCTTCTTAAACCCTACCTGTCATCTCTCCACAGCAGACCCGGTCCAAGGCCTGCTTGGTTCTTCATATGCCACCTTCTCTCTGATGCCTCCCTTGATCTCTCCCTTTCTCCCCCACCTCTTTCTCAAGAAGCAACCCTTCCTTAGAAGCCCTGAATTTGGACCTGGTCACACGGTCTATTGGACTGTAGCTATTTGTGAACATGCCTGATCCTCCAGAAGCACCATGTATCCAAGTACCAAGCTTTAGAGAGAGACAGAGACAGAGAACACAGGAGAGAGGGAGTGTGTGTGTACATATGCTTATGTATGTAGATGTGTGTATACATATAATATATATATATGTGCACATACAATATGTATGTATACAGTCTTGCTCTCCCTATACAGACACACACACACACACACACACACACACACACACACACACACACACACGTACGTTCATCTTTTATTCCTTCACCAGCTACATTTCCAAGTGTCTCCTAAGAGAACCCCCATCACTACAAAGAATAAAAGAAAGTGGGCTGGGGGAGGGTAACAGTTGGACAGAACTAATCCATACGTCCAAACCTCGGCGTGGGGCCCAGTTCGCCGAGGATGGCAGCTCCCCTCTTGCCATGGAGGCCATGCTTGGTCGGCTTCACCGGCGAGGTGGTGGCTCTTTTCCTTAGGGGGTTTGGGATCCCCTGGGAGAGCCCACGGATGTGACTCCCGAGTTCTTCCCTCCCCCTGTCCTCCCCAGCTTGCCGACCTTCGGCTGCTTTCCAGCTTCAGTTTATTCCCTCTTGGCAAGCTCTTAACTACTTCCAGCTAAAGTGTTAGCTAATTAATCTGAGGCGTCTCGCCCTAAGTGCATTTCTACTTCAAAAGGAGACTGTTTAAGAGGGAAAGTCTTTAAAATTAAAAGGAATGAAAATCTAATGATGCTGTTTCAAACACCATGCCTTCGGTGGGAGGAAATACTTTTGGACAAGGAAGCATTTAGACAGCATAGCCATATAGAGGTTAGGGTGCTGAACCTGGAGCCAGGAAGACCTGAGTTCAAATCCAGCCTCAGACAAATGGTTGGGTCAGTCATTTAATCTGTATCAGTCTCAGTTTCCTTATCTGTAAAATGAGGATAACAATAGCAGCTACTTCCCAGGGCTGTAGCAAAAACCAAATGATGTGACAGTTGTAAAGGACTTTGTAAAACCTTAAAGCACTGTATAGAAACACTGGCTGTTATATAAGGCAGCCCCTGGCTCATAGTCAAAGACCATGTAAGTGTCTGAGGTCCCAGCTAATGGTCTCCCTGTTTTTTAGGTGGCTTCATCAGCTTCAATGGCTCCTGGAGGGTCCAGGGCATCCTGGCCATGTCTCGATCCCTGGGTGATTACCCGCTGAAAAACCTGAACGTTGTCATCCCGGACCCAGACATCCTGACCTTTGACCTGGACAAGCTGCAGCCAGAGTTCATGATCTTGGCATCGGACGGCCTGTGGGACGCCTTCAGCAACGAAGAAGCGGTGCGGTTCATCAAGGAGCGCTTGGACGAGCCCCACTTTGGGGCAAAGAGCATCGTGTTGCAGTCCTTTTATCGAGGCTGCCCCGACAATATCACTGTCATGGTGGTGAAGTTCAGAAACAGCAGCAAAACGGAGGACCAGTGAACTTGTGCCCTGCAGGTCTGCACCTCTCTAGACTGAAGGACTTTCAATAAATTGCTTTACTTTGATGTGGTAGAAAAGTAGCGAAAACTCCTTAAAATTGTGCCCAGAATACCAAGGACAGCCCCTTCCCCAACGGTCTTCGATCTGTATCCAGCACTGTAAGGATGGAGGGCACCAGCCAACAGGACCCAGGAGGCTGGACCGACGGCTTCTCACATATTCCTTCCCACCTTCCTTCGCCAGGTTTCTAATATATATCTATATAGGCATCTACATATATCTGTGAAGATGTGTAGCATATACAGGCATATGCTGCCCATTTTCAATTTGAAGGTTTATTTTTAATCCCCTTTAAAAGTTCTTCAGGTTTCAGACTCCTCAAGTTTGCTTTGGAGCATGTAGCTTGGACAGGTAGAAAAACCCACCTAGTCAAACACTCCGGAGGGGAACCGATCTGGCTGAAAGACATGGCTGCCTCGGAAAGCCCTCCAGCCTCCAGGGCTGTTCTGCTCCCCCGCAGCCGAGAGAGTGATTTGAAGTAATGTGAGGGTCAGCTGCCTCTTTTTGGTTTTGTTTTCTGGGGACTTTGGGGGAAGGAGGAAGAAGCCTCTGTGGGGGTGGGATGGGGAAGGTCACCAAGTCCACTGGCAGCCTCTGACTCATGAAGCCCTTTGATTGACATCTTTCACTAAACCCTGCCTGTTATCTGGCTGCCTCTATGCCTTTGTCTAAATCTAGCCGGGCTTCCTAGTTCCAACATGTCTTTACTCTCAGCAACTGAAAACCACCCAGCTGCCCCACACCAGCCACATCGATGTGTTGACTTAGCTCACCCAGAAACCAGATTGTCCTGGGCCGCCAAGGCCATCATCATCAGACGCCCTGGACCGCCCTCATCTTGCATTCTCATGAAAGTTCGCTTGCCAATGGGAGAAGAATGAGTGGGGCCTCTGCAGAAGCCCTGTGTTTGTGTTAGACCTGAGATAAAAGAGGCCTTGGCTGGCAAGATCCCCAGCTCCAAGTTAGTTCCAGCTCCTCTTAAGAGACAGTTTTGGCTTTTTTTTGATCTCAGTGACTTTAGAGGATTGATGCGAAATGTTGGTCAGGTTATCCTGGGCTGATGTTTTTGATATTGGAGTAGGTCCCAGTCACCTTGGCCCAGAGCAAATTGTACCCAAGCCAAAATCTGATTAGTTCTCTTTAATTTGGGTTGAGAGTGACCGCCCCTTTCCCCCTCCTCCTCTGCCCTCAGAGTCACACAGAACATGTGGCTGCTGGCTGGGCTTGGGTCATTGTGGTCACTTCCCTCTGCAGTGGCCTGGAAATCTCTCTACCTGACCTCACCTTGCATTCCGCCAAAGCTGCCCCATCCCCAGGCCAACTGTGGGCGTAGCTCAGGTTGCAGACGGAGGCAGGTCCATTTCACGTGACCGAGCAGAGACAGAGAGTGGGGCGAGTGCGGGGTCATGTTCCCCAAGGCCCACGGTATCGGGTCTCAGCAGGGGAGGTTTGCGGGGCATCAGTGGCTGGGTCGCCTCGGTTCACCAGACGTTTGGATCCGCCAGCGGAGTGTCGGGTGGCAGCTTTCATCTCTTTGTGCCGGGCACCCAAGAGCTTTGTTCTTTGGAGAGGGCCACCCTTCTTCCTGTTCCTCAGTGTCCCCTGGTGCTCACATCATCCCCCTGAGTTTCCATGGCGATAATTCTGCACAGCTGCCAGAAGAGAAATAGGGCAGCTGGCAATGAATGATAGCCTCACAAGGTGGAATGAAGTCCTAAAGAGGCAAATTTAGGCATGGTTAGAGGGGAAACCCTTCTTCACAGTGAGAACTGTTCATAAGTAGAATGGGGTGGCTGGGGAGGTCACGGTCTCAGAGGCACTCAGATTTGGAGATCTGTCTTTCTTGTTATACAGAGAAGGAAACTGAGGCTAAGTAGTTTGCCCACTGACACACAAGTAGCTGGTGTTGGGCAGGATTTGAACTTTGGGGTGTTGTCTCCAAATCCAGCAGGTTCCCCATTTCTGGAGCTCTTCTAGACAACACGCTATCAAAGATGTTAGAAGAGAGAGCCCATAGCATGAAGTGAAGTCTGAGCTGGATGTTGGGAGGGAAAGAAGGATTTGGACAGGCAGAGATGAGGGAGTGTGGGAGGCTCTTGTAGACGTCTTATGCATCTCCTGGCTCCCTGTTGCTCCCCCAGGAGGCCCCCTTCCTGTGCTCCCAGGGGTGTGGCTGCTGGGGGGAGGGGCATGGGAATCAGGTCCTTAAGCTCCCAGGTGGGCCCTCGCATCAACCATTGCCAAAGCATTTGAGATAGGATGGGAGAGTGAGAGGCAGAAAGCACAGCCTTTTCAAAGAGCCTTCTGGCTTTTCTAGAGGTGGACTTCTGTCCATAGTCCACATTTGTGCCAAATTCAGGCATGGTTCCTGGTGTGTCCTGGGAGGCTGAGAATGGCCACACTCCCTAGACTTTAGAAGGACCAGGTAAGAAACCTGCCTTCCTCCTGCACCTCTGTGTAACTGACACTCCTAAAAGGTGGGGTCTGGGTTCTGATGCTGCTCAGTACTGGTCCTATGTCCCAATCCATCTGTCAGAGGGAGAGCCTCTCTGGGCGATGCCTTAGAAGCAGAATTAACCTTTTGTGTGAGTGATCTAATTGGGGTCATGGATTAAAGCTGGATGGGAAGCCATCTGTCCTAGACCCCTCCTCTTACCATTGAGGAGACGAAGATTGAAAGGGGCTGGGGACTGGCCCAACGTCACTCAGCTAGTAAATTTCAGAGACAGATTTGAACCTAGGTCTTCTAGCACTTTCTACCATGGCCTGCAGCCTCTCCAACAGACAGTGGATGGGTACCAAAGATACACTCTGTGGTGATCCAAGACCCTCTGCCAGTCATGGCTATGAGGGGGAGTTCTTGTCAGGGAGAGGATCACCCAAAGCATTCTATTGAAGAACTATTTATTGAAGGTATAACTATAGCCACAGAGAGGCCGGCCCGTTGAAAACAGATCTCACTTAATTCATTGAAACTGTAAATGGCACCATTCTTGTATATGTGTATCTCCTCCATTCAGCCTCTATGGGCACAGTGGTAAATCCAGTCCTTTTCTAGAAATAAGCATGAGGACACCCCCATGACTCCATTAGGGGGAGTTAAGGGAGTGCAGGCAGTTCTGGGGCTTTTGCCATGGATGAACAATACCCACAGGTAATGGTGAGTTTTTTCTCTCCTGCTCACTGCACCCCCCCTTCAATATTTGTCCAAAGGGAAAAAAAGTCCCTCCCATAGCTATCATATTGGAGAATTTAGCAGTTCTTTGGATTAGGATTATGGATTAGGTCATCCATAAAGTAGAACAGATTGAGGGCCAAAAGGGGTCTTAATGTCCCTCTTGTCCAACCCCCTCACCTCGCAGATAGAGATACTGAGGCCCAGAAAGATGACAGAACCTGCCCATGGTCACACATTTACTAATTAAGTGCCTCCTGTGCTAGGCCCAGGCGATGCAGAGGGAAAACGGAAGCAGTACGTGCCTTCAAGGAGCTGACAGCCTATCAGGAGAAACTCATTTCAGTATACACAGAATAAATACAGTAAGGATGCAAACCTAGGACTCAAAGCCAGGCCATTTGCCTCCTCGGTCCAGGCCTCTTTCCATTCTGCCCTCTTGGCTAACAGAGCATGCTTTGTTCTCTGTCACACCCATATGCACCATTAAAGGCTGGTGCTTCAGGAAGGTTCCAGAAATAGTTTTCCTTTTTGACTCATCCTAAACTGAACTTCCTCTAAGTTCCCCAGGCCTTGGCTCATCACACTAGACAAAGCTATTCCGTTCCCAAGACTGGTGCAAGCTGTGTCCTCTCATTAGGCTGCTCAGCTTCCAACCCCAGACTGCAGACCCGATGTCCTGATCGGCTACCTCTTCAGGCTCAGTACAAATGACTGTCTTACCAGCCGTGAATGGTAGTTAGAACATTAGAATTCAAAACAAAACAAAACATAATACTGACTTTTTTTTGTTTTTCCATCACCCACATTTCCTTTCCCCTCCCCCAAGAGAGCCATCCTTTATAACAAAGAATAAAAGAAGAGGAAGGAAAAACAGTGGTGCAAACACAACCCGACCATCCAGAAAAGCCTAACATGATATGTAGCATCCGCAGCTTCCTGCTTGTATCAATTCTTGAGGGCCAAACTTGGCCATTTCATTTTTCGGCATTCAGTTTTGATTCTAACAATGGGATTCCCACTGAGCAACTGATCATTTCAGCCCTGGTCCACAGGGTTCTATTTCCTAACAAAAGCAGTATAAGGAATCAAGTTTCTTAACGTGACTGCTAATATTGAATAGATTGAGAATTAATGAAATGAGCAAAACCATCACGAAAGAGCTTAGCTTTCAGCTAAGAGCACCTTCCCATCCCTGTCACTGATTTTTCATATATATATATATATATATATATATATATATATATATATATATATATATATATATATATATATATATATATATGTGTGTGTGTGTGTGTGTGTGTGTGTGTGTGTGTGTGTGTGTGTATACACACTTCTATAGATACACACATGTATGTGTATGTATATATGTGTATTGCATATATGCATGCACATATATATGCATATATATATATATATATATATACACACATACATACATTCTTAAACAGTTGCTTTTAGCAAGAATGTTCTCTTCCTACATGGATTTACTGTTTTATGATGGCATTTTATCCCTGACTCATCCAGGAAAAGGAAGATCTAACTTTGCCAACGTAGTTATTACATGTCCTTTACGAAGCGGATAACCATGCCAGGTAGATACCACTTAGATAAATACAGGATGTAATGGTATCCTTAATTCTTGAAAGGATTTGGATGTATTCTCGACCACGTGCTTGGTTTTTTTGTCTGTCTAGAGTGGGGAGCTTAGAGTTATGACTTCACAAGTTTAAGGAGCTCACAGTATAAGAACTCCTGCCATCAGTATACATCAGCACTTCTCCTGTCATTTATGATTTTTGAGAGTTTCGTAGAGCATTGAGAAGTTGGATGACTTGCCCAAGATGGCAAAGCCAGTCTGTGTCAGAGATTAGATTTGAACCCAGGTCTTTGAGACTCCAAGGTTTACCCTTGACCCCTGAGTCAGATACCACCTTATGAAATCACTGCCTTAAAACCAAAACAAACAAAACCATAGAATAACTGTAAATTTTTCCTAATTCTGGAAAAGACATTACTGTTTTCCAGAGAAATTGCCAGGTTTTTAGTTTTGTAGGTGGTACTTTTGGCAAGCTCCTGAATCCATCAGGTAATTTACTAGATTTCTAGAGCTTTCTTTTGTGTGGTGATAGCTATGGATGTGATCCACTCTGGGAACCCTCTTTCCTTGATTATCCAGGTATCAATGAATAATTTGAATGTAAGTGAAATGAGGAAGTCCTGGAACTGTGTATTCAAATGGAAAATTCCTATTTCTGAATATGTAAGATATTATAGGGCTGCATCTCTATAGATAGTCAATCCTCATCCCCGCCCCCAAAACCCCGACAACTCACCATATGTTCAGAAACCACAGCGTCCTATGTGCAGTCAGCTTTCCGAATCCAAGTCAAGGATTTAAAGGAGAACATGGATCTGTCTCTTCGCCATCAACCTTAGGGGACTCTTATGACTGAGTTAGAACTTTGTCAAGAGGTTCCTCGGGGGAGGGAGCACCCGCGTGTGGGCATGGTTCAGGCTTGGTTTCCTGTGGCCAGATTTCTCTCCAGCACCTCCTTCTCACACGGACACGTGGCCGTTCCACTCGTCACTGGGACTCATCATCTTCAAGAACAGATTTTCCTTATGGTTTGGGTTTTTTTTTTAGGATTGCATGCTAACACTTCCCTTGAAGGTGAACGGCTCCTAGATTTAGAAGCATCCTTTTTCTAGAGCTTCATCGTGACACCCACAGAATCATGCTACTGGAACAGCATCATGTGAAGGAGGGAACAGCTCAGTCATTTTATTCCAAGACAAGACCACGGAGTTGAATTTAAGTGGTGATGTACCCCTCAGCTTGCTGAGGAAATAGCCACGGCAGACTTTAAAGGGTGTAGGATAAAAAACAGGGGCTCAACCTGTTTTGTGTTATGGACCTCTTGGATAATCTAGGGAAACTTAGGGACCCCTTCTCAGAAACATGTTTTCATTGAGTTTCCAGGAATATATAAGGGCATGTTTATGTGTCAAAACACCAGCATCCAGAAAGAACAATGGACAGATTTATGAATTAACTCTTTGTTTACGTGTTGATTACAAAAGGAAATCTTTTGGGAGAGTCAGTTTCTTTTAGGAAAGCAAATGCCCGAAATGAAAATTTGTCTCATGAAACTAAATGTCACTAGTGAATTTATATGGATTTTACATGACTTATTTGAACATGGTCAGAACAGTTAAGTTTTCCATTCCATTCATCTTTAAGGGGAGGTATTCCCCCACTTTGGGCCCCCAATCACGATCATGATGACATGTTTTTAATACTGATGAATGATTTCTGTTGCAGCGTCACATCCAGTTTCAGGAATGTCCATTATCCATGTGTGCAGAATGTATCCAGGTCATGTGAAATGGATCCTGCCATTAGAAGTGGGTTTAAGCAGGCAAATTGACCCCTTTCTTATAAAGAAGTTTTTCCATGGACTTGACCACCTGGTGATTTGGGGGCAAAAGCTGGACCACAAAGAAGATATCACCAACAGAAAAGGTAGAAAGGAAATGTCTTTAATGGTCCACATGAATGTGGTGAATGTTATTGGCATCGATGCAGAATCAAACGTAGCCTCTCACTACATATGTGGAGGCACTGTCACAAAGAAACATATTGGAGACTTAAGTGGCCCTGGCCATGCCCTTCCATAGCCTGGGGGCTTTCAGATTGCACAGCCTCCGAAGGTAATGGGGTGGGGTGAGCGTGGCAGCAGAGCCTCCTTGCCTTCTCTCTTTGCAGCCATTCTTCTGAGGGGCTTCCCTTCCTTCCAGGGAAGGATCCCTAGTGGACAGCGATCATAGGATCACAGATTTAGAAGAAAGGGCCCCAGGGGCCCTTCATTTTACAAATGAGGAAAATGGACCCAGAGAGGTTGTGTCTTACCCAAGGTCACGCAGCCAGTTAGTAGCATAGGAGGGGTTTCCCAAAACACAGCATGTTCTACAGAAGTACACTGCTTTCCCCTCCTCTCTTTTCTCGTTTGGGTCAACTTGTACTGTAAAAAAGAATGCTTGGGTAGACCCATCCCCTCCTCTGCTTACCAGACATTTTCTAGAGAAGAGATGGGAAGATTGTGAGGGGTGGAAACAGCTCTACATGACTCATTTTTCTTTGGTTCCCAGGTGGCTACAACACGTAAGAAGTGAGATGAGAGGCCAGGACAGTATTTATCACCAGTGTGTCCCTGGGTTTCTTATTGATCAGTAATATAGAGACAATAAGAACGCCACTTCTAATGACCAGCCCCTTCTCTGATATTGAGTTTGCCCACTTATCCAGGCTGATTCTAGGCATGGCCTCGAGACTCACATCCTGACCAAACGTAGAAGCCACTGATCATTTTGTTTTCTATGGCAAAATGAAAATGGAAATTCCAAACTTCATCCCCAACCCATCCCTGCAAATGGTGGACCCATCGCCTCTTTTTAAAGAAAAGAAGAAGGGGCTTTGGTGAATTGTATGAACTTCTTCACCTGTAGGAATTATGATATAAGCTTTCCCTTGTTTTGAACAGCTATGCCTGTAAGGAGAAGTTTGGACTTTCAAGTTTTAAGCTAGTCATACAGGGAGTCAAAAGAAATATTATCCAGCAGCTTTCAAGGAAAATGTTTGACGTGTGGTTAAGCATGTTTGCCAAATTCTCTACTTTTGTTTACTTGGGTGAAGAATCATAGGAATGTAGATTTAAAGGTGAAATGTACAGCTTTAGAGAGAGAAAGGGTCTTTCCTGTGGCCCCAGAAATAGTACCAGGGATCAGGGTTCATACCCAAGTCCTTTGGTTCCAGATCTAAAGCTCTTTCCACTGCTTTCAAAACCTTTGCCTTGCTCTCCCTCTCATTAAATTTCATTACCAAGACACATTTTAAAGAAATGAACAAGAGCTGCTATTTGTATGAGACTTCGTTTTTCTTTTCTTTCTTTTTAAATTGTAAGCATGGTATAGTAGAACTGAAGTCCAGAGTTCTGGTTTTGCCATTGGCTGGGTGGCCCTGGGCACGGCACTTCTGGGCCTTAGGTTCCTTTTCTGAAAAATGTCAGCGTTGAATTATATTATCTTAAAATTCTGTTATAGTTTTGTGATTGTATATTTTAGACCCTTTCCTGGATTTCCCCTGTGCAATAGGACAAATGGGTATTAAAACAGCCATCATTTATTTTGATTATACAAAGCGAGAGAGTCAGAGGTGGGATACCATCAGGAAGACCTGGGAGCGAGCCTTCCTCTGACATGCATGGTCAGAATAACCCTTAGCAAGTCACCCAACCTCTGAGCGCCCTCAGAAAACTCTCTTAAGACTATGAATGGAAAAGCAATTAGGGATCTGCATTGCTAGAGAGAACCTCCTCACTGGGAGAAATCATAGGACTTATGCTGTTGAAATCAAAATATTACTATAAAGCAGAGGTGGAAACCAATTGGGAGTAGGAAAATTACCTGAAATATGCCAAAGGGAGTGACCTACCCTTAGCATCTTGAGCTTTGTTATGTTAGCCAAGGAAACCAATGCTTCTCTTGATGAGGACATTTTAGCTTCAATGTATGAACATCTGAGAAATGAGTTTTAGCATATGGTCTAGTACACAGTGAGCACTTAATAAATATTTGTTTAATTGAACTGAATTTTCTCATCTTTATGTACCATAGAATAGGGCCTATCATTGGTCAAGTATGGAAGTCGTTGCAAAAATGCATTTTCAAGTTGTCCAAGGAATATCACTTCCCTTAGGGCCATGGAGTAAAGAAAGGTGAGGGCCATGGAGGGTTCCCCACCCCTTTTAAGAATGGTTGGCAATTGCTATTTAAGTCCAGGATAATCATTTGCCCTTCTTAGATCTTCCTCTGCAATCTTTGTGATCTCTTTCCGGTTTTGCATCCTAGGAATGTAACTAAATAATGCCTGTCTTTCATTTGGAAACCATTCTAATCTTCCTCCCAGGGCTCTCGTATCAGATCTACAATTACTGAGCTTGCTTTCCAGCTGTCTAGTAGACACACACATTCACTGGCCTAGACACAGTCATGTAGCCAGCTCACCATCAAGGCTCTCTAAAGCATTTTCATGAAAGTAACAGAAAGGCTGCTAGCTTTGGAGTAAGAAATGTTAGGTGTGACTCCCAGCAGTCACTGAGACCCTTATCCTCATTTATAAAATGTGGGGGGTTAGATTAGCCAAC